TATGAAAATATGTATACTTTATATATTTGTATATTTCTATATAAATGTAAATGTGTTTGTATGTATATGTGAAGTATTTTTTGTATGGAGAAGAAAGGAACATCAATATTTATGTTTGTTGCCTCTGGAGGTAAGTTTAGGGTGAATCTAAGCATTAGACATGGAGTACAGCTTGTGGTGTATGATGTATTTTGTGAGCACAATTACACACATATGTGAGCATGTTAGGTTTACCTCCAAAACAGATCTGTGTATGTTACAGAAATGTTTTTAATTTTGTCCTTGCTAGATTTTACTGTCAAGACCTCCGAGCTTATGACATTTTATTTGGAGATGTGCCGCGGCCTGCTCAAGCAGAAGATCTTTATGAAATTCTTGATTCCTTTACTGAAAAATATGAAAATGAAGGACAACGCATCAATGCAAGGAGAGCAGCACGGGAGCAGAGGAAGGTGCTGTGCCAGGGCTTCCGGTTTATCTCAGTGGTCACAGGGACTTTCTGCCCAGGGTCCCAGTGACCTACTGAGCTTCCTTTGCGATTAACTTCTATAAAGTCCTCAGGGAAATGACCTAGAGCTTTGACATTGTACAGATTTTAGGGATGATTTGTTTTCTGTAATTGCATCTCTTAGGATGAACCTTGGTGGTATTAGTTAATAGAACTAATACTAGCTGATGCCGTTGGGGGGCGGTGGGCATGGGCAAGCTTCTGTGTGCATTTCTCTCTTTGGGCTCTGCTTGCTCCCTGCTGTGCAGAGTGAAACTGAGGTATAGGGTTTAAGTTATCATTGCCTCTCCCTGCTGACCGCTCCCTGTGACCATATCACTGAATATGCATCCCCCTGCAGACTATATACAGGTGTCAGAGGGGGTGGAGGCTTAAATGCAAGAGGGCACTAGACCACTCACATCAGTCTTCACATCCAGTTCTGTACAATACATGTGATCTTTCTTTGAGTCAATAAGTGCTATATCAACAGGTTAGAGGCAAAAAGCACCCTATACTCATATATAAAAACAGAGTTTTAAAATTATGTGTATTTATTCTTGTGCCTCCTAGGCTAAAGAATTACCTCCAAAACCATCATCAAGACCACAGCAATCACCAGCACCTATGCAACTAAATGCTGACTCCCAGAGTGAGTACTTCTGTTGGAGTTTAAGTACAATTGTAATTACCCAGGCATGATCGTGCACTCCTTTAATCCCAGCACTTGGGAGGTAGAGGCAGGCAGATCTCTGTGAGTTCAAGGCCAGCCTGGTCTCCATAGTGAATCCAGCCAGCAGTAGCTACAGGGAGACCCTATCTCAGAAACCAGAAAAAATAAAATAAAATATATATGTTTGTGTGTGTGTGTGTGTGTGTGTGTGCATGTGTGTGTATAATTGTAATTAAGTAATTATTAAATGTCATTAAGAAAGCAAGCAATATTGTTTTATTTCAATATCAAATAGTAATTAGTCGATATTTATATATAACCTCTTCTAAACCATGACAAAAGTTTTCATTGCTATCATTTATAAAGGCTTCTGTCCTCATGCCAGACATGGTGGCGCACAACTTTAATCCCAGCACTTGGGAGGCAGAGGCAGGCAGATCCTGTGAGTTTAAGGCCAGCCTGGTCTATATAATAAGTTCCAGGCCAGCTGGGGCTACAGGGAAGGCTACATAGTAAGACCCTGTCTTGAAAATAAAGAATAAGGGCAGGAAAGGTAGCTCAGTGGGCACAAAATATTTTCTTAAATTTACAAAGAGATTTATATTCAAAATTTTAATCATTTGGCACTGGAGAGATGGCTCAGAAGTTAAGAGCACTCACTGCTCTTCTAGAGGATCCGGGTTTGTTTACCAGAACCTAATAAAGCAAAACACTCATACACAGAAAATAAAAATAAGTACATTTTTAATGTACATTTATTTTGCTATATACCCTGGGAATACAGGATCTCAAGTGCTTTTTTTTAATATTTTATTTATTATTTTTATTTTCTGTGTATGAATATATTTCCTGCACCCATGTCATGCAATGCCCACAGAGGACAGAAGAGGCTGCCAGATCCCCTGGAACTGGAGTTACAGACAGTTATTAGCTGCCGTGTGGGTACTGGGATTCGAACCCAGGTCTTCTGCAAGAGTAATCAGTGTTCCTACTGCTGAGCCGTCTCTCCAGCTTCCATCAAGTGCTTTTAACTAGGTAAAACTAGGTTTTATAAATGCCCAGGCTTGTTCCTTACCTGTCATAACATTTTTCATCATATATAAAGTTTTTCAGTAAGCAGATTGTTGTTAAATTTATACTACATTGGGTGATCTTTCATGTAATGAAGTACAAAGATGCCTTGGATCTTGCCTTTAAAACATTTTCAGGGGCTGGAGAGATGGCTCAGTAGTTAAGAGCACTGACTGCTCTTGCAGAGGACCTGGGTTTGATGCCCAGCACCCCCATGGCGGCTATGAACCATCCTTAGCTTCAGTTCCAGGGGAATCTGAAGCCCTCTTCTGACCTCCACAGCACTGCATGACATGGGTGCACTCACATACATGCAGGCAATACACTCATACACATAAAATAAAAATAATAAGATTTTTTTTTTAGAATTTCAGTATAGGAGCAGAGCTACTCCATGCTAAAATGCAATTACTATCAGTGGAAGAAAGAACAAAATAAATAGTAACATTCTTCAAGAGGATAAAGACGGGACTGGAAAGATGGCTCAGCTGTTAAGTGCACTGGCTGTTCTTGCAGAAGACTTGGGTTCAAATCCCAGCACCCATATGGTGGCTAACAACTGTCCATAACTCCAGTTCCAGGGGATCCAACTCCTTCTGTCCTCCTTGGGCACTGCACAACACAGGTGCACTTTAAATGCATGCAGAAAATACACTCATACACATAAAATAAAAATGATAAATAAGAATTTAAATTTAAATTAAAAAAAAAAAAAAGAGGATAAGGGACTTCTGCTCAAACCTTCACTCACGTTCTGAATCCATTTTTTCTCATGTTTAGCCCTGGTTCCTCACTTACCTTGGTTCTTGGCATTTCTCACCACAACATCACTATCTTCATTCACCACCACAGAAGTTTCCCGCCATGTGTACCAACCAGAGTCATTCCCCAACACATTGTGCAACCCCCACCAATATCCCACCCACCCCTCATAAACATCCCACTGCAGCACTGCCCATCACCACCGCTCTCAGCTCACATGTCTCGCTGCTGTTCGAGCTGGAATATTTAAAGTATTTCTCAGTCAAGGTTAGTCTTATTTCCTTAATGGGATTGTGTTCATCCCTACATGTTAGTGAATTTAAATTTCTTGCTGGTTTTTAGGTTTAATCTTTAACGTAAAGCTCTTTATTTTATTGGTCATTTCTTCTTATTGGGATATTTATTTTCTTTCTCAATTTGTGAAAACATTTTTTACATAAAGGGCTTTATCATTTGGGTTTCAGTGTATTCTACATTTATCATGGATCTTATGATCTTGATTTTCCTATACAAGAGTTTTAATTATTATATAAAATATGCCTGTAACCTGGTTTTTATAGATCTGGATTTTTTTTTACTCAAGACTGTATTCAAGGGCTGGTTGTGGTGGCACACACCTTTAATCCCAGCACTTGGGAGACAGAGGAAGGTGGATCTCTGTGAGTTTGAGGGCAGCCTGGTCTATATAGAGAGTTCCAGGCCAGCTGGGGCAACAGGGAGGCCCTGTCTCAAACTTTGTGGATACTTTTTTAAAAAATATTTTGAGATTATTTTGTCAATTCTTCTTTTATCAAGTGTGCAATATGCAAGTCAAAAATAATATTAAATACCTTTATTCATTCTATAATGTTTGGTATTAGTCTATTATAAAGCACATAAATTACGTCGGGCATGGTGGCACCTGCCTTTAATCCCGGCACTCAAGAGGCAGAGGCAAGCAGATCTCTGTGAGATTAAGGCCAGCCTGGTCTACACAGTGAGTTTCAGGTGGACTGGTGCTAGGGAGACCCTGTCAAAAATTAATTAATTAGTTAATTAATTTTTATATTAATGGTATCATAATCTTCCCATTCTGTGCTTTCCACTTGTTGAGAATTTCATGTCTTTTAGTAAAATTTGTGGTTTTTCTGTCTTTTCTCTCAGAGTTCTTTCCCAGTACTGTGGAATCATGGTTCCCATTTCCATTGAAGACACAAGGAAAGCTTGGTTGCATATATTTTGTTTGTCTAATATCTGTTAATCTACCTAAAATTATTTCTTTCTTCAAGTAGATTCTCTTGGACTGTCCATATCCCTGCCCCGCCAGCATTTGCTTCATATAGTCATAAACTTCATGGTGTGCTTCTGTCCTCAGAGTGCATGAGACTGCCAGGGCCTATGGCCACAGGCAATTTCTGAGACAATTTCCAGACCTCCAGTTGCTGGACAAGTTCCTCAGAGACAGCCCAGCCAAGAGCATGGCTTACAGATTCATCTTCTGTCTTTCACAGTCCTCTTTTTCTGCATCTGAAGTAAAACAAACCCCAACCCATGTTGATTCTTAGACCAAACAGTACTCCACAGTGTAGAGCAAGGTCCAATGTGAGTGTGGACATGGGTGTAGTGAGTAGCTCTGATGAGCAGCAGGACCACCCATAAGCAGGTGATTTCCCGTTCTTTGTTCTCAGCAAAATTGAGAAAGGATCTAATTGACCTATCAGATTTATAATGAGAATTGTAATTACAATCATCATATAGTATTTTAAAATCACTGTTACCTATCACCCAGTTGCTCTCTAATATCTTGTTTTATAGTATAAAATTTTTACATTTTGTGTTGGTGATAAATTATCATTTGATTTTTTTTCTCATGTCTCAAAACTATAAAAGATTTTAGTGACATTACTGTAAAACACCTCCTTCCAGCCCTCCCTAGTTTTTATAAGAACAACCTTTAATAGCTGGGTATGGTGACGCTCCCAGGAAGCAGAGGCGAGAGGACCATTTGATCTCAGGATTTCAAGACTATCCTGAGTTACACCAGGATCCCCTCTGTCAAAGAAAAAAGTTCTTTCTACGAAATAGAGCACTAACATCGGGCATGGTGGCACACGCCTTTGATCCCAGCTCTCAGCAGGCAGAGGCAGGTGGATCTCTATGAAATGGAAGCCAGCCTGGTCTACATAGTGAGTTCCAGTTGGGCTGGGGCTACATAAGACCCTGTCAAAAAACAAACAACCAAAAAAGACACTAAAATAGATTTTGATGCTGAATAGCTGAATATGTATCACTTTAGCAATAAGAAAGTCATCCTCTGAACACAGATGAATGAAGAAAGCCTCACCCATATAGTGAGGTGCATTTCAAATATATTTTACCTTTATGTTTAGTAAGCTTACCTATTCAGCACATACTTATGATTTTGATCAGGGGCTGGAGAGACAGGTCAGCAGTTAAGAGTGCTGACTGCTCTTGCAGAGGACCCGTGTTTGATTCCTAGCACCTACATCGCATAACTCCAGTTCCGGGAAATCCAACACCTTCTGACCTCCAAGGGCATTGCACAACACAGGTGTACTTACACACTAAAAAAAAAAATAAAGATTTTGATCAGTTACACACAAATAATCACTATAATGTTAACTCCATCCACAAGAAGTTATTTAATAGGCCCTGTTCTTAATTAAAATAAAATAAAAATAAATTCATATATACATTTCTGTTGTGGAAAAATTGTATAAAATATAATTAATAGATTATCATAAAATATTCAAGAGAAGTAGACTGGAAATATGGTTTGAAACTAGAAAGTGAGTGTTGTGCATTCTTTCTGCTAGGAAAGGCTTATTGATTTTCTTTGACTTCCAGTAGTGGGATTCAGATCACTGTGGTTTGTAGTCTCATATTCAAAAGTAGAAATGTGATTATTTAAGTAACTGATATGCACTGTATGTTGTCATATACCCCTTATGACTGTTTAAGTCCATTCTGAACTCAGGTATTTATCAGAAGCTGTGCGGTGACTTCCGGACATGCTGTCTGAAATTATCTTAGGAGTTAAGCGAGCAAGAATGTTTAGAGGTCACCATGTGGGCTGCAACCTTTTCTTGCCTTGGTGTTTTATGCTCATTTCTGGAATAGACCGTGGCGCAGCATCAGGTACTTCAGCTACTTCTGCCTTGTACTTGACTTTGTGGAGTTTTCAGCTACCTCTTGATTTCTAGCCTGACCCCATAGTGTAAATCCTTAACAAGGCAAGATTTTTATGTATCTTATGCATTGTAATAAGCTTTTAAATAGTCTCTCATTTTCATGCAGGTAATGGAAATGAATATAAGCTATATCCTGAGCTTTCTAGCTATCATGAAAGAGCTGGTAAGTCAAAAGCCATTTGTTAAACAATGATTCATAACTATTCTATGCTCACAGATTTTCCAGTTAATTTCATAGGTTATAAAAAAATCCCTGAGAAGGTTTTCAGGCCTCTTCTATTTATGAGCTAAGTATGTTAATTTAGTTGTAGATGTTCTTCAATGACAAATGCTGTGCTTTTGTTCTCTGATTGACTTTGAGGGAGCCAGTGCAGACTCTCTGTGAGGGATGAAGCATTACCACTGGCAGGCCAGGAGACCCTAGGAACTGTTGCATTAGTGAACAGAATGCCAAATTTGTTAATTATAGCATAGTCCTTTATATATATAT